TTTATCTAGTTCAGCGTGGAGATAGGCGGTCTGCACGTCAAATTGGTATACTTCGAGGCCAAGGAGGGATGCTATTACCAGAGCACTCTTGACACTTTCGGCCCTGACTGTGGGTGAGTATGTGTCTGTATAGTCATCGGGATATTTCTGAGCAAACCCCTGTGCTACTAGTCTGGCTTTATATAGAGTCTGGTTGTCCTCAAGTTCTTTGATCTTAAAGACCCACTTTGTCCCAATGGTGCTTTGTCAGCTGGTGCCTTAGAGGGAGTGTATATATTTAATTCCCTCAGGCTGGTCATCTCTTTATCCATGGCTTGTTCCCACCTCACACTTTCTTCCGGTGGCAGCCTGAAGACCTCTTTGTATGAGTTGGGTGTTGTTTTGCCTGTGTGTATTGATAGGATGTAGTCCTCGAGTCTTTTGGGGGTCTTATTTCTGTTGGATCTAATGGGTCTGTTGGGTTGTGTCTCTGTGTCATGCATGTATCTAGTCTCCCTTTTTGTGAGTGTATCTATTTTTATGATGGGATGGTCCTCCTTCCACTCTTTGGTAGTTACCCCCTGGTGTCTAGGTTTGTGCTTCTCATGTGTTTTGGTGTCTAATGTGTCTTGCTTGTCCTCATCCCTTGCACTGTCTGTGTTTTCCTGTCTGTGGAGTACTTCATTGAGGTGTATTTTGGACCAATTGGTATTTTCATGAAACACCGCTGTCCTGGATATGATAAACTTATTGTCTTTGTCGATGAATCGATACCCTTTGTCCCAGTTTCATACCCCATGAACCTTAACCTTTTCGAGACCTTGTCGCCCTTGCGTCTCAGTTTTTTTGGGATATGCACATCTGCCGTGACCCCAAATATATGTAGATGTGCTATTTGGGGTTTTTTGTTGTACATTGTCTCATAAGGGGTCTTATCTACTACACTGGACCATAGCCTGTTCAGGGTATAGTTAGAGTATGTGAGTACCTCAGCCCAGAAGGATTGTCCTAGCCCTGCGTCTCTAGCACGCACCTGGTCATGGTTTGTAATACACCATTTTTTTTCGTTCCGCTACTCCATTCGGGAATGCGGAGAATGGCGAAGATGTGAAATGCAATACTCCGGATTCATTCTCGTCCAGCAGTCGTTGAAGAAGGAGCTTCTGTTCGTGGCTCTTGGGTGAAGGTTCCAATCGGCGGGATGGCTCCATGGCTCGGCCTTGAGTGGTCTCGGTCGGTCGTGGTCCAGTTGGGAAGTGATCTGGGTTGCCGAATTGCCCCTTGGGGGATCAGGAGGTTTGGAGGTCCCGCGGTGATCGGTTGGGTGTCCGGATGGCTCGACTCGACATGGAAGCCGTGGACTGGGTTCGGGACAAAGCTCTCGCTGGCTGGATGTTCCAGATGCCTTGGAGCAGGTCATCAGATTGGTAAGCGTTGGGCGATTCCCCTGGGATCCGGTGAGGGCCTTGGATGTGGTGAGTAGGGATCCCCGGTGGGTGGCTGTGGACGCGGTGCCCAGTTTGCGGTGGCTATACGGTAGGTTTCTCTTGTGGCCCTTAGTGTGTCAGTTGCCCCTTTTGGTCTCTTCGGTGTGTTCGGGTACGGGCCCGGTAGGCTTATTTTGGTGCCAAAGGCCGCGGTTAGTATCCGCATGGCCTTGTCTACCTCTAGCTTGGTAGGCGAGCTAACTTGGTCATCTCCCCATTCATTTTGGTCGTTGTTGGCGTTTTCTTCGGCGGTTTGCGAGTAGGCCTCGGTTCCCGCAAAGAAATTCAAATCCTGGGTCCCATTGGTTGTTGGTCGGCCATCTTGGGTGACGTCATTACCCAAGGTGGCTGCCATGAGGAAGGTGAGCGTTCGGCCTCGGTTTCTTTGGTGGGGAAACATTCAGTACATATTTTTCCTACCATGTTGTCTTTTTCGTGGCTAGGCTCAGCTCCCTCTTCCTCTGTCGCTGCTCCGCAGTCCTCGATCAGGGCTCGGAGTTCCGTGATGAGTTCTAGGTTGGTCAGGGCTGCCTCAACGAGGTCTAGCAACTTGATTTTCAAATTGCTTCTCTTTTTTGTATTGGTCGCGGGGTCGTCATCTCTTTCGGGTTTTGCTGGGGTCCCTGGGCTGGAGCTCTGCTCGCTCTCATCCGCCGTCTCTCTTGGCATGGTCCCTGTGGTAGATGCCTGCACCGCCATTCTCTTTGTGTATGCTCGGATGTTAGGTCTCCCCTTCTTCTCAGGCAGTTTGGGGGTTCCTTGCATACCTTGGTTTAATTGGATTGTTAACCATCCTCTGCTACCAATCTGTTATGTGTTTCCAAGGATCCAACCCAATAACTCCAATGCAGGATAAGATTAATTCAAAGGATCTTTATTTACATCATATTTACTCTTACAGGTGAACATCTGGAGTGCTGGCTGGACTCCTGGACAATACCTTATATACCTGGGAGGCGGAGCCAAGGTAAGGAGAGGTCAAGGGAAGGGTTTGGTGGGTGGATGAGGTTAACCCCTGCCCTGCCATGGGGGATTAGTGTTAGGCATTTATATGTAACACAGGTCTTAAAGCTTAAGGAACAAAATATGGTATTTTATTTGATACCCATAATATCCAAAATTTGAGGTAAAGTTCTGTCCCCAGTGAAATGGAAATTCCACACCTTGCAATGAAGGCCTGTCTACTCACCCTTTATTTTGTTTTATTTTGTTCAATTTCACCATCATTTGAGACTATAGTTGAAGTGTAGATATGTAGTAAGGTGATGTCCCAAAGGTGCTTTTTTCAAGAGGTAACTGGACTGTTTTATTTTTCTTTGAAGACATTTCACTACTCATCCAAGAAGCTTCTTCAGCTCTGACTGGAGGGTGGGGAATGGAAGGATTTATATTCCTTGCTGATAGCTGGTCATTTGCATCCTTTTAGAGAGTCATGAAAGTCACCTGGAGGTTTATCTGTGTCCTCGGGGTCACCTGAGTGGTGCAAATGGGGGTGGAGCCTTTTTGGAACTGCTGAGAGGACTGTGTTGAGGACTGGAGAAAGATGATGTCGTATCCCTCCCCCTCACCCCAATCTGGGAAGTCTTGTCTCCTCTGAAGATGCATGATGTTAATATAACTATTTCATTTCTTATCTTGTCCTTCACTAGTTTCATGACAATTTAAATCATTAAATAATTTATGTACACTTTGATGATTATCTTAAGTTAGTCTTATATTCTTTGTATGTTTATTTCTTTTGATTCTAAATAACCTTATTAACAACCTAAATAACCTAAATAACAAACATTCTTTATTTGTTTCTTTGTTTGTTCGTTCATTCATTCATTCAGGTTATTTGCCATCCATCTTGTTTCAAAACAACTCTGGGAAACTTATACCATTAAAATCATAAAAGAAAAATTAAATAATTCAAATGGAAACTACAATCAAAATAGAATTATAGTTAAACAATAGGGAGGGAAGGAGCTGGATATGTGGGGGGTGGGACTGCCTCTAAGTTCATCAACCATCTCCATTGTGATGCTTCATCATTGCTATCTACAGAATTAGGTCTTAAAGCTTAAGGAAAATATGGTATTTTATTTGATCCCCATAATATCCAAAATTTGAGGTAAAGTTCTGTCCCCAGTGAAACTAGTTTAAATTATTAATTAATTTATTTTACACTTTGATAATTATCTTAAATTAATCTTAAATTTTTTGTATGTTTATTTCTTTTGATTTTAAATAACCTTAATTCAGGGGTGAAATGCTCCCAGTTCGGACTGGCTCGGGACAGTAGGTAGCTGTTGTGGCTCCGTCCTCTGAGCCTATCTTATCGGAGGAAGAAGGCTCCGAACATGAAGGAGAGGAGACGGCCAGGCCTCCCTCTCCAGTACCCTCTTCTCTGGCAATGCCTCAGGTGTCTCCCTAAGGAGAAGAGATTGGCTAGGAGCCAGGTGTTTCCGAGCCATTGGATAGTGACGATGAAACATTGTGGTTAGACCCACGCCAGCATCGGAGAGACAAGTGTGCGTAGCAGAAAAGGAGGCATGCCAGAGATTAAGCTGAGTCACTGGACCACACTCCACAGGCTATAAAAAGGAGTGTGGTGGCCATTCGGACTCTGTGACGGACAAAGCTAAATCTCTGGCGAGTCACTTTGCACCTTTGGACACAACGCCTATTTGCTGTGGATTTAATTACAAACTGAACTATTCAAACTGTGTGTATTTTTGTCTGTGTTATCGGAGTAAAAGTTCTTGGCAGGCAGCTATGGAGTTGCTGCCAAGTTCCTTATCACTGACGTTGAGTGTTTGAAGACTTTATTTAACCCTTGGCTGGATGGTTGGGTGCATGTGTGAATCGGGGATAGAACAGTAGCGATGATGGCCAGTGGTTCAGAGAACCGGTAGCAATGGCAGCTGAAGGCTCCGCCCGCCCGCCCACCCACCCACCCCATTCCCCGGAGTCACATTTCTCCCGCAGCTGGCTGTAAGGGAAGGCAAGCGCCCAAAAGGTACTGGAGTCATTCACTCTTTTTCTTGAATGAGCCATTCTGGTCCATGCACTGGCTGTGCAAGCACACACCATTTATTTAATTCAGTGGCAGGTTGGATGTGTGCTTGCACAGCCGGTGCGGGGACCAGAGCGGCTCATTCAAGAAGGAGAGTGAGTGACTCCGGTACCTTTCGAGTGCTTGCCTTCCTTGACAGCCAGCTGCAGGAGAAAGGTGAGCAGTAGAAGTCAGGGAATGGTGCATTCCCTGACTCTGGGGAATGGGGCGGATTGGCGGAACCACAGGAGAAAGGTAAGGACACACCGGCAGAATAGAAATTCAAAGTTTTCCTACCGGGTTCTGTGGGCATGGCTTTGTGGGAGGGGGTCTTCTGACTAAGTGGGCATGGCTATGAGTGACATCGAGTTGGCCACACCCACTCAGTCACAGACACCCCCCCCCACCAAGCCACACCCACAGAACCGGTAGGGAAAAACTTTAGATTTCATCCCTGCCTTAATTGTCAAAACAAGCATACAAACTCAATAATAACTGCAATAAATAATTAAGTGTTATGAGCTTAAGAAACTACTTCATGATCAGATACCGACTTTTATCATTAAATGTTCCTTAGTATTTAGATCTGGTCTCAGGATGATAATGTAGCACTTGGGGAAGAAGATGCAGCCCAGCAGGCCAGCCCCAGAAGCCAAGATGGAGAAAACCTGCACGGCCACCATGTATTTCCCTTTGGTGCTCAAGTAGGTGGGCAGGAAGGAGATCCAGACGCTGCAGAAGACCAGCATGCTGAAGGTGATCAGTTTGGCTTCGTTGAAGGCCCCAGGCAGGTTCCTGGCCAGGAAAGCCACTGTGAAGCAAACGGCAGCAAGGAAACCCATGTAGCAGAGAACAACATAAAACATGGTCACAGAGCCTTCATTACACTGAAGGATGATCACTCCTGATTGGGAGTGCAGGTCAAAATCAGGAAACGGAGGAGAAACTCCCAGCCAGATTGCACAAATGACCATTTTTCCAGCAGAACCAGAAAGGATGATGGAGTTGGCCAAGCTCTTCCCCAACCATCTCCTCACCCTGTTCCCTGGTTTCGTGGCCAGGAAGGCCAGCACTACCATGATTGTTTTGGCTAACACACAAGACACAGCTACTGAGAAGATGATGCTGAACATTGTTTGTCGGAGAAGGCAGGTGGCTTTCCTTGGTCGGCCAATGAAAAAAAAGGAGGACAAGAAGCAAAGCAAGAGGGAAACCAGGAGGATGTAGGACAGGTCCCGGTTGTTAGCTTTGACAATGGGAGTTTCTAGGTATTTAAGGAATATGACTAAAACAAGGCCTGTTGTTAGAAACAGGAGTACAGCAAAGGAGACCAGGATGATGCCCAGAAGTTCTTCATAGGACAGGAAGGTTATTCTTTTGGGGATACATTGGATTCTGTCATCAGTGGGATATTTGTTATCTGGGCACTTGGTGCATTTTTCAGTATCTGAGAAAACAGTAAGTATTATTATTTTTATAGTCCCTCCTTTCACATTCCAAGAAATTCTTTGGATGACAGTTGATACTGAGAGATAGGAAAGCCAGAATTTCTCTGGTGTCACCCACCTTCCTGTGTGGAGATGGTCCCCTCCGGACAAGGAATACAATCGTAGCAGCAAATTGGTTCTTCTTTCCGAGCCCGTTTTACAAATCCAGGATGACACTTCTCCACACATTTGGACTGAGGCAGAGACTAAGCAGAAAAACAAAATTCATTCCAAAATATCTGCCAAATCTGCCTTCTACCGCATAGCTCCCAATTACCGATAAGAACCCACAGAGTTGGTTTCCTCCAGGTCCCGTAAGCTAAACAATGCCGACTGGTGGGCCCGCGGGAGTGGGCCTTCTCTGTGGCTGCCCCAGCTCTCTGGAACCAGTTACCTACTGAGATCCGGACCATCCCCACCCTATTGGCCTTCCGAAAAGTGGTGCAGACCTGGCTTTTCCGGCAGGCCTAGGCCGTTGATCTCGCTGTTGAGATCTGGTGAGATTCCTCCATGAATGGTGTGAATGGGTTTTAATTGTTTTTAATGTTTTAATTTTTAATGTTTTTATATATGGTTTTTAAATGCATTTTTTTTATTTATTTTTATTTATTTTTTTATTTGATTTATATGCCGCCCTTCTCCGGAGACTCAGGGCGGCTTACAATGCGTTAAGCAATAGCCTTCATTCTTTTGTATGTTTTATACAAAGTCAGCTTATTGCCCCCACAAACTGGGTCCTCATTTCACCTACCTTAGAAAGGATGGAAGGCTGAGTCAACCTTGAGCCTTGGAGAGATTCGAACCAGCAGAAATTGCAGGCAGCTGTGTTAATTACAGGGTGCACTAAACCCCTGTACTATCAAGGCTCTTAAGCCGCATTGTGAGCCGCCTTGAGACTTTGGAGAAAGGCGGCATACAAGTTGAACAAATAAATAAATAATAAATAAATAAATAATTTTTTATTTCTTAGATTGACTGATTAAAATGAAACTGTGCTTAAGAAAGACACTTCTGAGCAATAGATCAGGAAAACATAAAATATTGTAAAGCCACTCCTCTTTGAAAATAATCCAAATCCTTGTTCCAGTTAAGATATAAAGAAAAAATCCCTCACAAACTACGGCTGCCAAATTCAAATGAGGTATTATTAAGTTATATCTGTACATATATATTTTCAATTCGTACAGCTGCCATGCTGATGAAATAAGATTAAAGATTACTGTCTAGTTTCTAGAATTATAGTGAGGACGAGTAGAGATGAAATCATGAGAACATGTCACTCAAAAAGGTTAAGTCAGGCATCCTTTTCTGCAGCACATGGGACATGAGAATGAGCCCTGTGTGGGAAAGGGATATTTCTAAGGCCAAGTGAGGTATTCAAGACAAGGCCCTTTCCACTGAAGAATTACAGTTTTGTTGTTAATTGCTAGTTGTGTCCAACTCTTGGATAATTCTTTGTTTTAATGTAAGACAATCAAGATAAAAAATTGCATTCAAAGGGTTTTGAGATGGCTTACAAGCCAAAGACCAAATATAAGTAGCATTATATTACAAATTGACCCTCATTATTACAAGTATCAAGAAGGACTTGGGGGTGGGCAGTCAAGGCAAATTTAAGTCTTTCATTTTTCTAAATTAAGGCATTATCTCAAATTATACAAATCATTGTGGTTCTATTTTGATTAAACATCTTGGATCACCTTCCAAGCAGCAGGAGGCCTATCCCAGTGGGGTGAAACAAAAGCATGAATAACTGTGGTCAGATATGGGCTGTTAAAAATAATATCTGAGCCTGCTCTTTCAGGGGACACTAACACCAACCATATAGACCTAGAAAAGTTACCAATATTTTCAACCACCTTGTTCAGCAACTTTAGACGTGAAAGAGCATCTTGGTCGATAATAAGCCTCTGTCTTTCAAAACTCCCCAGTTGCTCTTTGATGGGATCCTCATTGGGGAAAATCAACCAATTTATGATATTCAGATCTGCTGCTAATTTTCCACTTTTGTCCAAGTACAGTTTCTCCCAGGAAAAATTGCGAAACTCATTCTTCTCCAGAAAGGGATGGAACTAGAATTGAAACATCCAGGAATTTTGAAAACAATTTGAGACACCCTAAAAGGAGGACCCATTTTAAAGCTGAGCTTGTGAATGAGAGATGTCCAGTCCACTCTTCACTATTTTTTTTTAAATTTGATTTATATGCCGCCCTTCTCCGGAGACTCAGGGCGGCTTACAGTGTGTTAAGCAATAGCCTTCATACTTTAGTATATTTATACAAAGTCAGCTTATTGCCCCCACAAACTGGGTCCTCAATTTACCTACCTTAGAAAGGATGGAAGGCTGAGTCAACCTTGAGCCTGGCAAGATTCGAACTTACTTTAATTGCAGACAGCTGGTGTTAAATTACAGTGCCTTCTCTTCAGAGCTATTCAGGCTCCTATTTGCCTGAATAGCAATAGCACTTAGATTTATATACTGCTTCACAGTGCTTTTACAGCCCTCTCTAAGTGGGTTATAGAATCAGTATATTGCCCCCAACAATCTAGGCACCCATTTTACCAACATTGATAGAAAGGAAGGCTGAGTCAACCTTGAGCTGGTCAGGATCAAACTCCTGGTAGTGAGCAGTGAGTTATGGTTAGGGTTAGGGTTAGAGTCAGTGCAAAGACTGAGTATCCATCAGTCTGAAAGGCTTTAACTGGATTCTTGCAGTGAGGAGGGGTTAGGCGAAATGCTCCCAGGTTTAGCTACAATTTATGAATATAAAATTCTGTCATTCTAGTTACAAACCCATACAAATCTGGTTTCCCATTTTGCCAACCTTGGAAGGATGGAAGGCGGAGTCAACCTTGAGCTGGTCAGGATCGAACTCCTGGCAGTGAGCAGTGAGTTAGGGATAGGGTTAGGATTAGCATTAGCATAAATGCCACGGCTAAATGCAAAGACTGAGTAGCCATCAGTCTGAAAAGTTTTAATTAGATTCCTGCAGTGAGCAGGGATTAGGCTAAATGCTTGCAGGCTTGCCTGAAATTTATGATATATAATTACAAACCCATAATTACAAACCCATATCTACAGGAATTTTATAATAGCAGTTTTTAATATCAAAATATAATTGTCACAGTGCCTGCTCTTTGAAACATAATCTTTTAAACTAACCTTAAGATGGTCAGGATCAAACTCCTGGCAATGAGGAATGAGTTAGCCAGTAATATTTGCCTTGTAACCTCTGCACCACCATGGCTAAATGCAAAGACTGAGGAACCATATGTCTGAAATGCTTTAATTGGATTCCTGCAGTGAGCAGGGATTAAGCTAAATGCTCCCAGGTTTAGCTGAAATTCATGAATATAAAATTCTATCATGCTAATTAAAACCCATAAGTACAGGAATTTATTTACAATGTATACATTTTAAATATTTTTATAATAGCAGTGTTTAATATCAAAATATAATTGTCACAGTGCCTGCTCTTTGGAACATAATCTTGTGAACTAAATCTGGCCTCATCTTGGCCAAACCTGTTGGGTTTTTGTAGAACAATGGTTCCCCTACTTCAGCATTGGATTTTTTTCTAAATAGGAAATAGGATTAATGGATCCTTGTCAGGACCCCATACCTGCCATGGCTCTAGCCTTAGAGTCCCCAATCTCTCTTTCTTCTCCATTTTTCTCCTCCTAGAGATTGAGGAATATGCAACATTCAAGACATGGGCCAGAGTCTTAACAACAGTATAAAAACGGCCATCATTTTGTATCTGAATTCTATTCTTTTTCTCTTGCATGTCCAGTGGTGCTATCTGGGTGCATCATCTCCGGCCCTTGACAGAAAGGACATGCTTTGAAAAAAAACAGTGAAAAGACTGGTTTTCAAATTTGGAATCCTGAAAAAGATTGGGTTGAAAGGCATCATCATTTGGCCATTTTTTTTCCTGCAAAGCAAAGGCCCAAATGCTATGGATATATTTGAAAAGTGTATTGCTTCTCATTGTCATTTTCCCCACAATTGTTGTGATCCAGACTTTCCCTTCAATGGGTCCTGACAAACCTTCAATTGCTAAATGGATGTGGCAAATTCTATCCACAATAGAAGAAAATTCTATGAAGTGAACAAAGACATTGACTTTTCTCCACTTAGAGATGGCATTTCTGAGAGGTTCTGTAGCTTTAGCCATTGAGAATTGTTGTGAGATAACTACACAAATTCCATTTCTGACAAGCATAGGAGTAAAAGTTCTCATGAAATTCTCTCCCTCCTCTGTATCTGTTGAAAAAAGACCAATCAAAGTCCATCTGAAATGGAGGAGGAGTTGGACAATTCCTGGATACTGGATCCCATTTTTGGGAAGCATCTGATGGAAAAAAGGCATTTGACTTTTATCACTCAGAGTCTCTGAAACAATTCCATAACTGATCTGAAGAAGCAATGAAGAATGGTGTATTATGGTTAGATCAGATCAAATCCAAAATGTAAGTGTTTAATACATCCAGTGTGGTTCTCACGAACATATTGGAGTAGTCCAGCAGTCACCAACTGGTTGTCCATGGACCACTGGGAGTCTGCGAGAAAATTTTGGTGGTCTGCAGAAAGATTATTTGCATTTT